AAATAATTATATTAATTAAATTTAATTTCTACTATTTATTATCTGCTTTACACTATCAATTACCTACCATATACTATCATTATTTATTATTTATTATCCATTATTTACAATTTATTATTTATTAAATTTTAACTACTTTATCAATAGATTCTCAATTAAAAATGCTTGGGCCGGAAATCCAGGACCTAAGTATGTCGCATGTTCTGTTACCTTTAGTGGCTAACAACTATAAAAAGAGTAATGATATCAGGGGGACGAAATTGAAAGACTAGAAGTTAAGTAAGGTGAAATTGGTAATTTTATATCTTGTAATTTTCACTTGTCGTTCTTCAATTTCGTCCCCCTAATCATTACTCCTATAAAAATAGTATTTATTTAGAAAATTCAATAATTAAATTAAATGTTATATTTATGTAGGTAATGTGTCAATTTTTAAGTTTAACATACATCTATAGTCATTTGATATTGTATATTTTAAGCGTATGTTTAATGAAATTAAATTTTATATAATCAATAAATTAATTACATGAATAGAACATTAGATCTAATTATTGATTTTTCAAAATATTTATGGACACTAAATCCAACTTTTCTATATAGATATATATATTTTTGATATGTAGAGATTAGAAATTAAATTCTATATATAAGGTTAAAAGCAGAAATAGTTCCTTTATTAGACTACATGATTAATGGATTTTTAAAATATTTATTAGAAGATGATGTTTTGAATTAATAGTTTGTTGAGTCACACTAGTATACACCTATTCTTTAATGATAATAATAATAATAATAATAATAATAATAATAATAATAATAAAATGCTATTTTGCATGGAGGATTATACTTTTTTTATAATAAAAATAACATAACTAAATAATAAATGTCAACTGTTTTATAAATTACTAGTTAATAACTACTATAGTTAATATTAACTATTTCTAATCATCAAACCAAACATATTTACCATTTGGGTGTGGCCTTAACAAAAGTTAGTGTCACCATAATCATGCCCAAAATTATGTGTATGTTACTCTTATGTAAATTGGTTGTCATATCGGGCTAAACCCTAAAAAATTTTTGGTATATTTAATTATAAACTATATAAAAGGGTATAACTCCCATTTATTTTTAAATTTCTCTCCATTCAACTTAAATCTCGAACTTGAGATTTTCAATGTGAAATTTTAAATTTTTAATCGTTGAGTCATCTCATTAAAAAAATTAATATTTAGTGTTAGAATAATAAAGATTTTTTATTTTATCTTTAAATAAAAAATTTATATTTTTACTCATGTGATCATTAAAAAGGAAATAAAATAAAAAGACTTTTCAAGGATAGGATATAAATATAATAGAAAAAAAAAGTATCTCTTAAAATATGAAAAAAGACTACTATTATTGGACAACTTCTAACCACAGGATTCGGATATTTTCCAGAGCCCCCAAAACCAGTAAGTCTCCTTTTTGTTGAACTACTTAGTTACAATAACAATCCGAGACTCCCGTGAACACTTGCCCCATTTTAAGTGGGGGCCCAAGGGCTTTAGCCCTTGGTTTATTTCCTAAGCACCCACTAAAACTCAATTATAAAGCCAGATTATTTGAAGAGGACGATAAAGTAAACAACAGGCATGGGGAATTGGGTATTCTAGGGGCAGTTAGAATGGAAATTTTCAGCCTAGTATTGTAAATGATTGTTGTGTGCACACAAATTTCAATTTAGAAGGGCTCTACAATTGGGGCCACGAGCCCACTTTGGGTGAGCCCTTATTACAATTGGAGCCCTGGCCCTTGAGTTTAGTCCGCCGATTAGAGGTCTGGTCCTCAACTTTAACACTTGGCAGCCAGTTCCTCGTGCAGTGGCACTGCTAGTCCACCTTCAGTTTGGGAGAAGAAATCAGTTTTGCAATCTGACTCAGGTTAGATTATAAAATAATAAATAGAAGAGACCACCTCATATTTAAAGAATTTATCTTTTATTTTTTTTTGAAGAAGAGAAAAAATTAAAATATTTTAGCATTTTAATATTAAAATATTTAATAATAATTATATAATAAATTTAATAAAATTAAAATTCATGCTATATTTTATATATTTAATAATTATAATTAAATCTCTTAATATTTATATCGCCATGAAACATTATGATTTTTCTTTTTCTCTATTTTTATTGCAATTAAAGGTCTGCTTTTCCAAGGCATATTTTTTTGTAAGTTGAAGTTTTCGTACAAAATAATGAGAATAGAAAAAAAAAAGAAGAAGTAAAATTAAAATATTTTAAATATATTTTTATATATTAATTTATAAAAAATATTTAAATAATTTTATAAAAAAATTTTGACATCTAAAATATCAAGAGATCTTAATTTTTGGTAATCCCATAATAATATGCTTTTTAAAACAAATTAACGACAACCTTTGGACTCCACCTTTTCTCCAGTGTGTTTTTTGCAGGAGTACTCTATCTCTTGGTGCTGTTTTATGTTAGATGGACACAAATCTAGGAGAACTTCGGTGCAAAATTTTAGAACTCAGAATTGAATAATGTTAAAGCAGAGTAATCTAACTTTCCCTGTAACCAACTAACCATTCTGCCAATTAACGAACGCTACAGCTGCTGGCTAAAAAAAAAAATCTGAACCATCCCAGTGCCAATGGATATCAAAATATAGAGAATAAATTCAACGCAAGCGAAATTAAATTTAAAACAACCCATGGTAGATACAGAAATTTAGTGCAAAAACAATTTAAGATAATGAAGAACCCATTTGCAGAGATAAGTCGAAAACGTACATGAATGATCCTTAATCTTCCTCCAGCTCTTTTTCCACATCATGTTTTTTTAACTATTCTCTCAACGTTCTGTATTTAGTTCCAAAACCAAAATGACTCATCAACAACCAAACAAAAGTGAGAAGTTCTCCAGCCTTACTTAGTTGATCTGCATGGACATTCGGCCTGCATTTAATAGCAGCATAGCACATCAAGTGTACCCAAACTTTGTTCATTCCCTCCCACGGATAACCATCCTCCTGTTCCAACCCACGGGCAACCTCAACTGCTTCAGATAATAACTTCATTTTTTCGTCTTCTTCTTCTTCTATTTTTACATCTACTTCCTTGGACCCGAACAAGATCTTTTTAGCAACACTCTTCTCATTTGAGAAAGACTTCCAGGGTACCAATGACCTGGTCTGTTTAGATGTTCTTTTAAACTCATCTTTCCAATTGTCCAATACACCGGCCATCATGGTGGGCTGCATCTCTGCAAGATAAAACATATAATCTGAAAGTTGTTTGCATATTGATCTGTAAGTATCAGTTGTCCCATGCCAGCGGTGGTCGGTGTTTTGGAAGCATAATTCAGTGGCTATGTGCCACACCAGGAGGGTTTGTGTGTAATCCAACTTTCCAGTTAAATTCTTGATCAACTCCTGGTGCTTCTGATTCATGACCGGCTCAAGAAGTTTTTCAAATTCTTCTTCTGACAACCAAACTTCTTTCTCCCCTTTGTTTTTGCAGCAGTGCCTGCAGTCAAATTTCATCTTTATTTCCCTCAAAATGAAACTCCAGAGTGAGTCCTCGACATATTGGAAGGACTGACAATGGAAATTATTAATGACTTTGGACAACAAAGTCCCCACGGAAGTAAGATCATCCAGTTTTTTCACATGATGTGTTAAAAAATTGAGTTGTGAAACTGTTTTCGACCACCTGCGCCTTTTGATGACTGCATCAGGCAACTCACGCTTGTTGATAAGTTGAGATCCATCCTGGATGTGAGAAATTGCAAACCAATCTGAGCTTTTAATTAATATCAAAGATAAGACATCCATTGCTAATGCCCCGATCAGCAAACCATAGGTTATCAAGATGTCAGACAACTCCAACTCGTAGTGCTTCTTGACCAATGAGAACAAAATCAAGGCAACCAAGATGCAACCAAAATTTGCCATACGGAAATAGGATCCAATCTTGCTATCTATCAGGGGCAACTTGGTGTGAAGAACCTCATACAAGAGGCTTAGCTCAATCTCAAAGATCCGAAGCACTTCTCCATCACTCCTCTGCACCATGATCCTTTCTATGATTCGCTTTAGTTCGTTTTCTTTTGGAAGAGGGCCAACAAGTATCCTCTTTAAATTGCTAAAGAGTAGAACTGCAGTTCCTGATATTGATGGATGGTTCTCCATGCCATGGAATTGTTTTGGAATGACTAGTCCAGTTTTCTCGCGGACAGGCACCCAATTTTTTCCTAATTTGTCAAAGCTTGCACGGTTAAGCGCAAGGGTCCGCCCAAAGTATTTGATTATGCCTGCAAGTAACACTAGGATGGTTGCGAGCCAAAGCTCGTTATTTGGTGAGGACTTAAAGAAGGCGTAGAAAGTAGAAAAAACCTGCGACAGGAGCGCAAGAAAGTGCCTTTGCCACAACTCATTATCCTGTAGAGAATAAGAGGTAATAGTATCGGGGCCACCAAGGTGCACCAAGAGAAAGGGTGTCCAAAAGGCAATGATGTCAATGGGAGGGCCACCTGATTTGGGACTGGTTCTGTGTAGGATGAGTCCCATGGTAGATGTAGCAACCCAGTCTGCTAGAAAATACACGAACCAAATCAACCCAATGATCCATTTCCCCCAACCACTTTGAACTTTTCTTTTTGGTGCCAACAGATTTAAGATGACCTGCAGAGAGAGGCTTACAATCATTAATCCCCTAATACTCCAAGCATTCCACAGCTTCTGAGCTTTTTCAGTAAGAGAGAGTGCCACTGCCATCGTTTCGTTTACGCGGACAATTTCTTAGGGACCCTTGTTCTGATGTGAGGTTCAGGGTATAAGGAAAAGGAGGAAGATAGTATAGTAAATATTGACTTAATAAACTACTTTATATGATTATTCCAACCAATAATGCTTCCAAATCACAGGGCAGGAAAAAGACACGCCAAAAGGGTAATATATAATCCTTCCTATTCTAATGCATTTAAATAAATACAAAAGAAACAAGATAAAAAAATAAATAAATACAAAAGAAAAGAATTGGATAATATACGACAAATTTACAAAACGGTACATATAATCCTTCCGTGTGGATTTTTTTTTGTGCATATCGTTTCGAAATTTCTGTGCATTTTACAGAAATTTAAGAAACTAATTAATGGACTGTTTGGAGTTAAATTCTTTTTTTTTTTTTTTTGGCGGGCACTTTTTTTAGATGGACGGTTGGGGGGGAAAAGGATGTGAATTAAAGTATAAGGATGAACTTCAAAGAGCCCCTTGCGATGAATTGAATCTTTAGGCTTTCTTTAATAATCACAGAAATTTGGTGTTCACTTTTTCTTTTCACTTTATTAGGCAGTAAAGGTTGGAACAGCTTTCATGCAATCCGTGATTTGTTGAGGATTCGAAGGGAGAAAGGTAGCTGTCAAACACAGTTTCAAGGCTCCACCACATTGACTATGTATATGATGACTTAGGACAGGGAGACATTAGCTAGGTAAGTTGCGGGGTGTAAGATCAGTTAGGAAAAACTGATTCAAATCAACATAAAACTCAAGAAATAATCTTGAAAAATATGTAATAGATGAAGAAAATAACATAAATTGAGTTAAAAGTGATGCTCAGATTTTTTCTATTGATTTTCCATAGGTTTTTAACTAATTTTGATATGTTTTTATAACATCAATCATATACACTAATAGTGTTTTACCTAATATAATTAAATAATAATATAAACCTCATAAACGAGAGAGAAAGGGTAGAATTTCTAGGTTCACACACAACATTCTGATTTAAACTGAAGAGTAGAGTTGAGTGTGGTTGGTTAATTAGCAGGCTAAAAGATTTCTGAAGTCCTTTAGTTTTTTGATGCAATTTGTCTGCTTTAGGTAGAATTAAATAATTAGTAGATTTCCACACAAAGAAGAACGTGAAATCATAGATATATGTGTTCTAGTAAAAAAAAAAAGGAGGAAAATATTGTTCTTTTCATGTGAAAAAGTTATACAAAGAAAAAAAAAATTTGTAGTATTGTTTTTTTTTTTTGGATTTATTGAGTAATGCATGTCTTTATTCAACCAATAAAGCATATGTATGCATATATTCATATAGAGGTTAATGTGCATGACTCTTAAAAAAAAATTAGGAACTCACTTAACATCTTTTTTTATTAATTTTTCCTATACTTTCTCTGCATCAATTTTTTATCAAACACAACAAAATTAACAACTCAACAAAATTTCAACAAAATTCATTATAAATCTAAGCAACTTTTAATATAATACTTTCCAATTTTCATACGGAACTTTAACCAATCACTTTCCCAAAAAAAAAAAATTTCTGAGAAAGATTTCAACCAAACAGGCCCTAAGGGTAAAGATGTTTCAATACATATAGAGCAAAGTGCAAACAAAAATAAGGCTGCTCCACCTAATACTCCATGCATTACTGTAATTAAAAAAAATGTATTTAGTACAGGAGTAGATTTAATTTATAAAATAATGTTATTATATGCATACAAATATGTCTGTCTTGGGCCTTGTATCAGCTCTCTTCGCTTTAATCTTACCCACAGATTGGTCTCATAAAAAAGGCGACTCTTAGGTTCTTGAAATTGTTCTTGATTTAAAGAATGTGTGGTTATACCAAGAATCTATTATTTTGAGTGGAATGAGTTTGGTTTTTCTTAAATAAAGTTTCGAATTCAAGTTTTATAAATAAAAAAATAAATGTTAAGAGAACTTTTCCTTACAGGGCCTACCTCAGCTTAATTTAAATTAATCATGATCTAATATAATTTTTAAAT